GGCCAAATGCTGGGTTCTGCACTTTGCCCACAACAACCCCCAGCAGCGTGACAGGCTTGGGGAGGAGTGGCTGGAGAGCTGCTCAGCAGAGAGGGACCTGGGGGCGTTGACTGACAGCCATGTGAACATGAGTCAGCAGAGTGCCCAGGTGGCCAAGAAGGCCAACAGCATCCTAGCCTGTATCAGGAATAGTGTGGCCAGTAGGACCAGGGAAGTGATCTTATCACTGTCCTTGGCACTGGTGAGGCTGCACCTCGAGTCCTGTGTTCAGTTTTAGACCTCTCGCTACAAGAAGGACATGGAGTTGCTGGAGCGTGTCCAGAGAAGGGCAATGAAGGTGGTGAAGGGTCTAGAGCCCATGTCTTATGAGCAACAGCTGAGAGAAATGGGGTTGTTTAGTCTGGAGAAAAGGAGGCTGAGGGGAGACCGTCTTGCTCTCTACAACCATCTAAAAGGAGGGTGTAGTGAGGTGGGGGTTGGTCTGTTCAACCAAGTAACAAGTGACAGGACAAGAGGAAATGGCCTCAAGTTGCACCAAGGGAAGCTTAGATTGGATATGAGGAAGAATTTCTTTACTGAAAGGGTTCTCAGGCATTGGCACGGGTTGCCCAGGGCAGTGGTGGAGTCCCCATCCCTGGAGGTATTTAACAGTCGGGCAGACACAGTGCTTGGGGACATGGTTTAGTCAGTGTTAGTGTTTAAGTTAATGATTGGACTCAATGATCTTAAAGGTCTTTTTCCAATCCAGGCAATTATGTGATTCTTTGAAAGGCTTTCAGGGGAAAAGCCACAGAGACTGAATATGGACCTAGGAGCCTTGATTCCCTGCTTCTTCACATTCTCATCACAAGACCTCCCTCCCCAAAAATCACAAGAACTTGCTCACACCAAAGAGGTGCGAACCTCTTTGGCCTAGATACCACTGCCTCAAAGTCGTGTTAACTTCAAAACCTTGTTAAAACTGCAAAGGCGATTATATGACAAGAAAAATAAGGCAAAACAAGGGGACGAAATAAAAAACACAACTTCTGAAAATTGGAAGGAAACTTTAGATCATGATGGAAGTATCTTATCTTTGGAAAATGTTAAGGTATGACCAAGATAATGTTCATAACAATATCAGCATCTACTTCTGCTGATTATGCCTCCTCTCAAGGTGCTCTTCCATCTTTAGGGCCTTGCAAGTGGAGATCAATTCCCCTTCTTTCAGAACTCTCCATTAACACAAATGCTTGGAAAGAGGCAATAGCCCCTAAGGCTTAAGACTGCACTTAACTTGGTCAACATCAATGATCCTTAAGCACACACTTAACATTTTCCCTGCAATACCCTTGCAAATTTCCCTGGGTATGAATTTCCCGCCAGCACTGCATGAAGTGAAATCACATTTCCAGTTTATTCAAAATGGATGCAGAAGTTGACTGGAAAAAATTGTTATTACTGGTGATGAATCACAGAATCATAGAGGCTGGAAGGCATCTCAGGAGATCATTTAGTCCAACCCCCCTGCAAAAAAATCCCTACACCAGGTTGCACAGTAAAGTGTCCAGGTGGGTTTTGAACATCTTCCGAGATGGAGACTCCACAATCTCTCTGTCCAGCTTATTCAAGTGCTCCCACACCTTTACAGTAAAGAAGTTTTTAAATAAGTTTGTGTGGAAATTTTGGTGTTCCAGTTTTTGCCCATTGCCCCTTGTCCTGTCACTGGGCACCACTGAAAAGAGCCCAGCCCCATCCATTTGGCCCCCACACTTCAGGTATTTATAGACATTGATAAGGTCCCCTCTCAGTCTTCTCCAGGCTGAAGAGTCCCAGCTCTCTCAGCCTCTCCTCATACAGGAGATGCTCCAGGCCCCTCATCATCTTTGTGGCCTCCACTGGACTCTCTCTACAAGATCCCTGTCCCCCTCGAACTGAGGAGCCCAGAACTGGACACAGTATCCCAGATGTGGCCTCACCAGGGCAGAGTAGAGGGGGAGGAGAACCTCCCTCGACCTGCTGGCCGCACTCTTTTTAATGCACCCCAGGATGCTGTTGGCCTTCCTGGCCCCAAGGGCACACTGCTGGCTCATGGCCAACCTGCTGTCCACCAGCACACCCAGGTCCTTTTCCTCAGAGCTCCTCTCCAGCAGGTCAGCCCCTAACCTGTACTGGTGCATGTGTGAAGAACAGGAGAAGGACACACAGTAAGGTTTGGAGTCATACGGGTACATTCACAGCATGACAAAACGTGACACATACATGACATAATCATTACTATGACAACACTGTTTGGAAGGCGTGTGTAACCTGCATTTTGAAAGCATATGGTCATACACTGGCCCCTTCCTGTGCTTGAAATTAAAAACAAAACAGAGAGACAGGAGCTAAAAGCATCAAGCCACAGACTGGCCTGTTTGCATTCCTTTGCCCTGATATCAGTTATAATGACTGCATATTCATTTAAATACTTTGCTTATTGACTTGCTTATTTGTCTTTAGCGTTTTGCTTCCAAAAAAACCCCGAATAAACAGGTGAAAATAGCAAGTGCTGTTTTTAAATGTTGGGATGTCAGTATGAATTCCTACAGTAACAGTGAGTTCCCGGCTGCAGGGAGAGTGTGGAAGAAGGGCAACGGGGAACAGAGATGTCATTAAGGACATTGCACTGAGATCCTGTCTCCTGTAATCTTCTGAAACACGCTACACATGAGACCTTCATGTCCTGGGAAGCCAGGCATCCCTGCTCTCCATGGCTATGAAAAGAACTGGCACGTGTGTATATATATATATATACACACATTTACATGTATATATAGGAAACTTGATGGAGAGCAGTAACATTTCAGGTTCAGCTCCTCCATAGCACGTTTGCATCTTGACTGGACCCTGCTCTAGCAAAATCATTTTCTGGGTCCCCTTTGCAGGAAGAAAAAATGCCAAGTTTCACCGGGGTGGGAGGGTAAAGACTGTTACATAAGATGAGACATTTCCCATTCTTACTTTGGGAGAAAGCCAAGCCAAAATCACAGCCTTGCCACGTATTTGTTTCAAGTCAGAACCCATATTCCTCACAGAGGCCAAGCTGGCTCTCTTGATGCTTTCTTGTAGATAATCACATCTCAACAGACTTTTATGTGATCTGAGACCTAAGTTGGCAATTCCAATAAACCGAATGATTGCGCTAGTTTTGCCAAAGGCAATAAGTAACTTTAAACATACAAGCAAATAAATAAATAAGAGACTTGCAGGCCTGATGTGGCCTTTGCCATCTGTGGCACTCAGCTGGCACATCCCTGGGGGGACCCATTTGGAAACTGGTGCGTCCTACACTGTAGTGAGAAGCTGAGCTATTCAGGTAGCAACTCATAACCCAGGGACACGGGTGCACGAAAGGAAAAGGACAGGCAAGATGGTATGGTCCCAGTCAGGCTATGGGAGACGAGGCCTTAATTCCCTGTCTGACCTTGTGTAAACCATTTTTATTCTTCAGTGCTTCTACACTTAATTCTTGTACCAAACTTTTCTGTATCACAAATACCGGGATGGAAAATATGCAAGCAGACACCAGGTGCTTGTATTTTAAGAGAGATGAGATTAAATAAACACCAATAAACCCCTCTCTTTTCTGTTCCTCCAACAAGGCTGGGGATAACCTTGTGGTGTTTTTCTCGAGTATAACTCTAAAAGGCTGAGGAGGAAGAAAGGAGCAGTATTCCACCAAAGGATCTGTAGTAGTAGTGGAACAACATAAGCTCTTGGAGGGAGCCAATGATTAAAACTCCTTGTGGAAAGACAGAGTAGGTGGTAAAAACCCAGCAGAGTTATCTGTCTTTCGAGACTCGGGTGGTGAAGCTGTGCTAGGAAAAGGGAAGGGGGTTGCCCT